ATATACATATATATATATATAAATTAATAGGGAAATGTTCAAGTTTGAAAACTGTTGGAAGTGCGAAGAAATGAACAAAGCAAGGGTGTTGCATGACAGGTTGCCGATTGAGTAATCGTGTATGCGAATATGAGAAGTGCGATAGGTGTATGAAGAAGAGAAAAACACTGGAAGATTTTGATGAATGCAAAACATTTGCTGTGCTAAACAAAGTGTAAAAATACGAATGCATTTGTTATATCGTAATCACTGCAAGGATACAAATATGGACAGGCGAAAATACAAAAACATCATCATAAGGTCAATATCCCACTGCGAAAGATAATGAAGCAGTTGCTAAATATCAACGACCATTCAGACCGCGAACGTCCCATGCTTCACAGCGTATGTCACGTCAGTTTGCTGTATATAGTGTCATTAACCGTTTATCCGATATAAAAGAGGTTGCAGGAGAAGTCGCAAAGTACAATATTAAAGCTGCTACTCTGAAGTTTAATGGGTTTGCTATTCGTGAAGAAGTTATAGGTAACGAAATAATGCGAGACTGTTTGACTTGTGGCTGGTTGGTTGGAGAGATTATTATCATACAACCACGGAAGAGATTATGGAATATGTCGATTGGCATGAAACACTTATAACATTATTAACAATCAAATGTTGTGGTTGGTGGTCATCCCAAACCCCAATCATCTAGTAACTTGATTTTTGAGTTCGAGTTTATTTTGTTTTTCGTTTGTTTGTGTATAGGTTTTCCTAATGTTTTGTTGCTTTTTTGTGTTTTTGCAGTTTCAAATACGTTATGTTTCAAGATTTTGGGTTTACTTGTGGTTGTATTTTTGCTTTTGTTGTTTTTGCTTTACAACATTGTTTGTGTATAAAGTAACCAAGGTGCTGGCGGAGGTAGAAGAAGCCGTGCACGAGGATGCGTGTAGAACCAGCGTCGTTCCTCACGCAGGGGGAAGTGCGAGTGGAGTGAGTTGACACTGCAAAAACTGGTATTTTGCACATCGGACTGCTTTGCGATTAATTGTTTGGAGACATAGCCATCCTGTCTCCCTGTTCAAGTTTGGCTAAGCCACGGTTTCTAGCACGAACACAGGACAGAACCAAGGTTCTGTCCAAGGTCACGCCGATGTGTCCTTGAGGTCGCGGGGCGGTGTCCTTGACGTCGCGGGGGTGTGTCCTCGACCCTGTGCCATTTTGTGCTAGTCACACACGAACACCTCGTGCTGTCTCTACTTGAGAGACGTCTTTGCGTTGACTCCAAATCTTGCATCTGCACGTCCTGTGATGCAAAAGCCTGTGCGGAGCCCTCAGGCGTGTTTTTACGCTGGGTTAAAAAGGTTTCCAGAGCCGAATTGTCACACTGCCCCTTCTTGAAGCTCCACATCGTGTAGATGTGGACGAGGACGGTGATGAGAGCCACATTCATCTCCTCAATCTCCTTTGCGGGCTTGGTCAACTTGCCAACCAAACTTTGAGGGATGATGCCCGCCATCTTCTCAAGCTTCTGCTCCGTTCCGCGAACCGAACCCCTTCTTCAGGTGTTGCAATCAAGATGGTAAGGCACTTGTTGGTGTTTTCAAGGTTCAGCCTGATGACAGTGTCGTTTCATCTTCTTCGTCATTTCGGAAATGGCTTGGTGAGCTTTCCACAAGAAGATTCTCCGCCATTCCATCTCATCGTGGCGATCATACAGGTAGCTCACATAGAAGTTCTTCACATCCGTCATATGGCGCACAATGCTAGATCGCTTTTTGAGATGAAACTCCGACATACATGTGCATCGGGTCACTGAGTGTCAGCAGAACTCGCGCAGGCACAGCCCCTAACTTAAACCCTTAACCCTGAGTCTCCTGTCGGCATCGCGTTGAAGAACTGCTGGAAGTCGTCGCAGTTCACGGCACTGTGCTGACTGGGAGGAGCCCCTTAACCCCAAACCTTAAGGCAAAAGACTCAAATCCATGAGGAACCCTTCGCCGTTCTTGAGCTATGGCACTTGGGTAGATAAAATAAAGCGTGACCTTGCCAGGGCGAGGGCCTGGTCGAGGGGGGAGGGGGGGGGTTGGAGATTAACCCGCCCTGCAACCAGAATCCAGACTTTACAACCAGAACCCTCACTTTACAACCACAGACACTGTTTTCGATGTGCGAATCCCCATTTTGCAACTGTCGATTCTCAGAACGCCCACTTTGCAACCCGACCGCATGTTTGTCTCCTTGTCTGCATATCTTACTATGATTAAGGCTTATTGGGATTTCATTATCGGACTTGGCTTCAAACAGGCCCGACACGAGCCCGTTTCGAGGGGTTGCGTCTTACAGCAAACCTTCATAGCTCCCCAATAGTTTGCTGGTGCTTCGAGGCCCCTTAAAGTGTTTTATGGGGTCTCCAGACCCCGTCGAGCATACCCTGAGAGTATGCATATCGATCCAGGTTCCGGAACCCCTCTCCCACTCGATCAAGATGTGAAGTATTGCCTAGGATGCCCTGTCTGCGACACTACACACTCGCTCAAACCAATATAATTAAAGACACGAAGTACTTCCTGTTTACGAACATACATAAAAGTTCAAACCAAGACAATGAAACATGTGTGTGTATATATATGTATAGTATATATATATATGTAACACAGACACCTACATATCTATCTAGCTATCTATCTATCTATCTACCTAGCTAGCTAGCTAGCTAGCTAGCTATCTATCTATCTATCTATGTATGTACATATGTCTCGGATTCGGCTTAAGAATGCCCACATTGCAACCAGCAAAACTTTGCAACCTGCGTGGCTGCTGTAAAGAATGATGCTGGAGGTTCCAGGCTTTGACGTTGTCAGGTAAAACGCTTGTTCAGAAGCGTTCGCAACCGGTTGCAAA